TTTCTTTCGTCTTTCCTTCATCCAAGACAGTATCTTATCAGTGTAAGCTTCTGGTTGCAGGGTCTGTTATCAGATGCGTGCGTTGTTGGTCTGGGACCAAAGTTCATGTCGCTGTACGTCTCCAAAATCGCGGTAAGTGAATTTCGCCTGGTTTTCCTTGGCGGACTAATGGACGCCATCTCTCACCAGATGGAGCGCCGTTTATACTACGACGAAGTAGAGGGTCTCAAGGTAGACTGGCTCGAGAACACTGGTACACTGGTTCTGGATTACTGCCGCCCGAGGCAACACTCTCGAAAGGCCAAGTGCCGAAGCATCTCTGACGTCGCAGTTGTGTCCAATCCGGCAATGGATCCTGACGACGAGACTGGTAATCTCGACAGGTTAACCAGGATCGAGCCAGAAGCCATGCCTCTCACCCTTCGCTTGTTCTCACACATCCCAGTTCTTATCCATGCTCTCGGTGGTGATAGCTCCCCTCTCGACATAGGTGTTCGTGTCTACGTTACCTCATACTTCTTCTCCTAGCTATCTTTCTTTTTTTCCTTCTCTCTACTACCTCTTACAACGTACCTTGTTTCCTTTCTCTTTGGTTCTTTGTTGTCTCTTCGTTTTTCGTTCTCTCTTTTCTTGCTCCTTTGTTTTCCCTGTACAGCTCCGTTAAGTACTACTTGTAGAATGGGAGAAGTAAAATAATCCTGCAGTGGAAGAGAGAACTAAGACGAGGAAGAGTTTGAGAGAGCCCGGGTTTTTTTTTTCTTCGTGGCTCGCTCGCTCTCTTCTTTGGTCTCTCCTCTGCGTAACGAGGCAGGCTTGTTTTACTACTCTGGACAAGAGTTCCGCGTTTTAGTAGGTGCTCTACTCCAGCTCTTATCGTTGTGGGCCGTACGACTTGATGGCCTGGTAAAAACTCTTAGAAATAAACAAATAAATGAGAAAATTCAAAGTTATGGGTAAATACAGGTAATATATTAACTATAAGCATATTTTGGACTAAATCTAGTATATACTTATTAAAGTCCCAGTAAAAATGTGCAAGGGCACTACAATTTATTCATGAAGGGCAAAGGTTTTTAGTAATATTTTGCTCTAGGATTTTGTTGTTTGTTCTTATTCCTTCTTTTTCTTTTACAATTGGATTTGTATTAGTTTTTTGATAGATCTAAAATTCTAGCTATTAATGTGTTTAAATTTGATCTTCCTTGGGATCTTTATTACATTCATTTTTCTCTCCCACTATCAATCAATGAGTATATCACTTGAGGTTATTATTAATGCTTCATTCAATGAAATTTTTTATGCTATAGAGTGTGATTATAATCATATTGCACCTACCTTTGGTGTGTTGATATCTCTAGCTTCTGTAAGACATGATTATATGGCTTTTTTGGTTTTTGGTAATTTACCATCTCCTAATAATATAAAGGGTGATTGTGACATCAATTGGAAAGTTATGAAGGTCACAATTAGGTTTTTGGAGATTGTTTGAGGATTAAATTTATAGGAAGCCAATGTATCAAAGCTTGAGTGGATTAAAGATTTCAATGAGGAGCTTGATTATTGTGAAGACAACTTAAGTTAGAGATTTTGTGGAATAAGTGTCAATCCTTCAATTTGTTATTTGATCTTTTTTTTTCACCTTTTGCTCTTTCCTAACTTAATATTGCTTGTGTTCCTTTTTCATTTCCAATATTTCCTTCTCCTAGCATATTAATAATTCATGACTCTTATGACTCACATTCTTAATCTAGTGTTGAGTTGTATGTTTTTTATTCTCCTCATACTAATTTAGTTATTTAATATATATAAAGTTGAGAATTTTACTTTTGTTTCTTTGGTAAAGTCTTTGATCAATTTAAGTGTTAAGTATTCCTTTGTTCCAATGGTTAAGTCATTATTGCATTTGGGTATCGAAAAATATTTGTTGGTTAGTCCTTATAGACACTCTTTCCTTACTGTCATAATAATAGGAGATCAATACTATTAATCCCTTTGTGATCTCCATCTAAGCTAATTATGACAAAATTATGCTAAATACTATATGACACCATGATTGTTTGTAAGGGATATTAAATGCATTCTAAACCCTTATTTTGTAGTGTAACAACTTTAGAACATCCTTAAGTTTAGCTCTAAGTGTTATAATCACTTTAGTCAAAAGTGTTAGATTCAGTGTGTCCCTAGATATCCTTCATTTTATAGTGTAGAGTTTTGGGTTGAGTGTGTATCCTTGGATGTTCCTTATTTCGTAGTGTAACAACTTTAAAGTTTAACTCCAAATTTAAATGCATTATAATTATTTTGGTTAGAGTTTTGGGTTGAGTATATATCCTTGGATTTGATCTTCCCAAGTGATCACTCAGCCTAGTAGTATTTAAACTCAAAAACACTTAAACCTTTGCATTTTTATTCATAGACCCTTTCCCTTTATATTTGAATTAAATTAACTATTTTTTAAATTGTTCTCTTTGGTTGCTTATAATCTATTACGCTTACTTACGAGTTCACACCTTTATGAATAGAAGCTAAAAGCCATAACTCTTCTAAGAACCTTTCTCTTTTGAGACTTTATTTCTTAAGTCGAGACTAACCAAAGAAAATTAAACTTGCATACATGGTATGATTTCTTTAGCCCATTAATAGAGTTAAACTTGAAATCTCTTTGATACAACTATTAACCAATTGAAAAAAGGGGTGTATTCTTATTTATGGGCTTTTTCCTTCTATATTTAAACTTAATGAACCATATTTTAAATTATTATTATTTTTTTGTTTACAGAGTGCTATTAAGAGCCTTTATTTTTTAATTATTGCTGACAAATTTATATGTTCATAAGATTGGACTTTGGATTGTATTGAGGAGGTCAAGTAATATGAATCTTTTGGTTATCTCGTAGTTGCAAAATATTTTATCACAACAAATTCTTTATTCTCTAGGCTTTGAGCACATTTCCTTCTTTTCTCCTATTTCTACATTGAAAATTGCTATTCTAATGCTTCTTTATCTTCTTCCATAATATTTCTTCTTAAATTTTTCTCACTTTCTACTCTTTATCTTAAAAATAGAAACTTGTTTTTTTAGAGGGTAGAGGGGATGGACTAGAGTCCAACCTGGTGAGGATAAATAGATATAATAATGGAGCAAAGATAAAAAAATATGATGAGGATAAGTATAGTGAGTTTGAATAGAATATTTAACAAGGTCGAATGAATGTAATAATGGAGTGAAGTTGAACATAAATGGTAAAGTGAGGATAAATATACTAAATTTGAACAAAGTTAATGCTTTAGAATTTTTTCTCTTTGAGCAGGATAAAGAAGATGTGAAAGATGAATGGAGTGAATTTAACCTCCCATGTGTAATGTTGAGCAAAATAAATTCTATTGATGGTTATGAGTCTAAGTTAATGGTGGTATTAAATGATGGTTGGTAAATAAAGTTTGATATGGGATATATTATTTATTGCAATGGTGCTTTATGAACTATAGTGGCTCTTGAAATCTTTTGTTTTAGTTTAAAATTACTTCAAGGTTGATTCAAGCATTTAGTAGTTGCACATAGAATTGTGATTGAATCATTCAAATTCTATAATTAATTTATATTTATGCTATGGCTTTAGAGTTATAATTATTAACAACTATGTTGCTAGTTCCATGGGAGCTTCAAGTTCTTATGGTAGCCTATAATCATTTATCAAAACTCTAAATATTCCACCTAACTTATTATCAATATCTTTTCATCTTATAATGTAAAATATGTAGATATATGTATCCATTCTTCTATATAAGCAATAGTCTAAACCCTAATTAATATATTTATTCCCATCACAACCTTGTTTATTTTGGAATTGCATTATAGTGGCTTAGTAAACATGACAATCCAGCCTTTAGAGAGGTTGACTCTTCTAATAAACCAGTCTAAATGTTTGATCCATGTTCATTTTTTGAGACTACCATCCAGCTTCCAGTTGAATCCTTGGATGAATGTCGCAATACCAATCTGGACAGCATCAAACCCAAGCTTGGCACTGGGACAAACTCTCCTCCCCGTCCCAGACAGGACCAAGTTAAATTATGTTCAGAGACATCAAGTGTCGATGAGAAGCTGGGGCTGAAACTCTAGAGGGTCTTCCCCAGGGAAGCCCAATTAATTAAGCTCAGCGGCTCAGACGGGACTGTGATCCACACCAACACCTACTCGATTGCCATCGACAAGAGGTTTTGTTGTTTGCAAAGAGCTAGTGGAACCACTGGGCAGAGCCTCATTGTTTCAGCAGGATATATCATAAGTTCATTAGATTATGTTTTGCAGTCCTAATTATTTGTCAAGTCTAAAGAATACGTGATGACTAGGCACGTTAGTGTTTCAGAGACAAGAAGAAACCAAGATCTGATGCCTGATGCACCTAGACCAGAGGAGGTGAGTCCTTGAATATAAGTCATGTTTGCCTTTACTTCAACATACTCGTTCCGTCAAGGGAAGCTCTTGAAGAAAGACAACTGGTGGACGCTATAGTCATTGTCTACAGTCTAAATTCATTTACATTTATCTCTGTAGGAGAAACTGGCATCCTTTCCAAGTGCCTTTGCCAGTTGAGCTGCGCATTTGTGATCCCGGTGATCCGGTTAATTCTGTATCCTCAGAGGCTGGAAGGACTCAAATCCGTGTCACACACAAGATCCGGGTGATGAGCTGCTTGTGGATCCTGACGGCTGCTCGGATGCAGGCACTGTTTTGGCGAGCTATCGAGCAGGTGTGGGAGGAGCGCGTGCCAGATTCCACTGTGCGTGGTATTGGTGGAGGGAGTTCACGGAACCACTCCCGTGCACTGCGGGAACTCGAAGAAGTTTAAAGAAGTTTGCGGAACGAACCTCTGAGGCCCCAGTTCACAGACGATCCTAGAGTGTGTGCTCCTGCGCGATTTCAAGAATGCCGATTATGGATGTGATATGGCATAGCACTTTGCAGAATAAATGGAGTTGGGATATTGGATTCTTAAGGATGAAAGTGAGCTTGATTGCGCAATGATTTAAGAATAATGTCTTCTTATAAACAATGCACTTTGAAAAGATTGGGTCAAACGCCTTTCACAATGACCAGCTTTCCTAGTTTCAACGGAGGCGCCTCCTTTGCATCGCTACGCTTCTGCCATAGCTGGCCGACGAGAACACCAGGACCAGCCGGCCGGATGTAAGCCACGAAGTTTTCCAGTGGCCACGAAAGCTTTTCTGCTTGAAAAATTGGGAGCTCTTAGCAGCAGAGAGAGCAATCATCGGTGGTTTACTCACCTGGTTTTCGAAAAGAGGACGGCAGCTCGTCTTTGAGATGGAGATGGCCGCTGCTAAAATCGAGAACCATATCGCATTCGTCATTTGTAACAGACACAAACTCTGCCTGTTGGACTTTGAAGTACAAAGGCATGTAGCGTGAAACAACACTCCCAAACAAGCCCGCTGATCAGAAATGCATTCGTGATGAGTTCCAGCTTCAAGCAAAAAAAGATCTTACAGCAGCTAAGTTGGCCATAAATACCATCGTCCTTGGACACGAAAAACTCCTACAGGCAGAGAAAGAGTTTAACCAAAGCTTTACATGAAAGTAAGGAAAACATACGATTGTTATGTCTCTCAACCAGCTCCATGGCCAGAAATCTGTGACATATTCTTTGTTGTTCTTGTGAGAATACAAAAAGAAAGAACTTTACCTCCTCCAACCTTTCCATGCCAGATCGTTTTCTTGTATGGTTCCTCGATTTCGGGAGCTGGAAGAAGAGTAAACGCGTCCCCGGCAAACAATTTGGGGCTGTCATAGCGTTTTCCAGTCACCTCCCACATCGACTGCATGAGACTGTCATCCTCGTTAGCAAGCTTTTCCACAAGAAAAGTTCCAAAACTCACAAAACCTGGGATGGATTAGCTCCAAAAGCCGAGCTCTTCGCTCCTCCGGGACATCTCCAATCTTCTTCCTGTGACACGACTAAAACGTTAATCCAGGAAACTCCAGCTGAAAGAGTCACCCACCAGATGAAAGACGCATGGTTGTAGCTCGCCGGATCTAGAGGCGACAAGTATGGCGGATCCAGCAGCGTTATCACGTCCAATTCGTCCAGGTAGAACTTCCCCAGCCCCGGAATCGTTCTATAAGGCCTGTCTCCAAAAGTCCCTGGACCACTGTCTCCCACTCTCTTGTTCTTGGTCGCAGCACTCTTGTTTTCTCTCCCTCCGTCGCTCTCCTCGAAGAATCTATACTCTTGGCGCTCACCAGGACCGGACGAAGACGATGCTCCAGGGCGCCCATTGGTAGCAGCAGCAGCAGCAGCGCACACGAAACCACGCCTTGTGCATGAAATGCGCGCCTGCCGCGCTGCGAGAGAATCCCACGACGCGCTCGTGCATTCGCCTGGAAGCACAGTCGGAGACGCCGCCCCGAGAACCGCCATAGCCGTATAAACCCTAAACCCAAACAAATAAACAAACAAACTCACTCTCTCTCTCTCTCTCTCTCTCTCTCACACACACACACTAGACCTCATTAACGCCACCACTAAGCATTGCGTTTTTCCGTCCTAGCAAAACTATGACTATGGATCTTCTCCCATTTAGTTTGAGCGCCTTCATGCTGCTTGTTTTAACTTCCATCCCTCTCTGGTTTCTTCTTGCTTCTTTAACTAGAAGAAGAAATCTTGGAAAACTCCCTCCAGGACCATTCAATTTGCCAGTCATTGGCTGTCTTCACATGCTTGGCTCGCTCCCTCACATCTCACTCCACAAGCTCTCCCAAAAATATGGCGATGTGATGTACTTGAAGCTTGGGACGAGGTCCACCGTTATCATCAGCTCTGGGAGAGCTGCCAGAGAGATTGTCAAGCTCCATAACCTCAAGTTTGCGTCTAAAGTCCCATTGATCTCTGGCAAATACTTTGGGAACGATTACAGTGGTATAGCTTTCAGCCAATACACTCCAGAAGTGAAGTTCTATAGGAAAATTATCAACACTCACTTGCTCTCCCCGACCAAGCTCAAGATTTACGATGGAATCCGTCACGAGGAGCAGCGCCGTCTCGCTCGATCTCTCAGTGACGAGCGAGGAAATCCGGTCCTCCTGCGGCAAAAGCTCCACAATATGAACATGAACGTGATAACTTACATGCTGTTTGGGAAGCGCTTCTGTGGACACTACAACAACACTGTGAATGTTGACGGGTTTGTGCAAGTGATAGTGGACATTTTGAGGCTGGCTGGGGTTTTCAACGTGAGCGATTATATCCCGGGAATTCGCTGGCTGGACGTTCAAGGTTTGGAGAAGCAGTACAAGCACCTTATGGACAGGGTAAACAGGCACCTCCTTTCAATCTTGCAAGACCGGCGAGTGAATCCTCCGGTTTTCACCAGCGAGGAGCCCATAGCTTTCATTGACGTGCTCATTTCCATGGAAGAAAAGCTCTCAGACATCACCATAATCTCACTCTTGCTTGTAAGTTTTTTATAACCGTTGGTTTCTTAGCTTAACATTGGAAAAATGGAATCTCACAGGATCTGTTGCTGGGTGCGGTCGATACTTCGGCTCTTCTGCTAGAATGGGCAATGGCGGAGCTGTTCCGGCATCCAGTAGAGCTATCAAGAGCTCAGATTCAGATAGACGCGGTAGTCGGCAAAGAAAAACTTGTGGACGAGTCGGACATCTTAAAGCTTCCATACATTGACGCTATAGTCAAGGAAACAATGAGGCTCCGCTCGGTGGCTCCGCTATCTCTTCCCAAACAAGTCCAGGGAGGCCCCATTAAGCTCAGCGGCTACACCATCCCGAACGGTACCACGATTTACATCAACAGCTACTCGATTGGCATCGACGAGAGGTTTTGGAAAGACCCTCTAGAGTTTCAGCCACAACGTTTCTTCGACTTGCCAGACGTCGATGTTTTTGGCCATAACTTTAACTTTCTTCCGTTTGGAACAGGGAGGAGAGTGTGTCCCGGTGCTAAACTTGGATTTGATGCTGTCCAGATTGGTCTTGCGACGCTCGTCCAAGGATTCGACTGGAAGCTGGATGCTCCGGGGAATATGAACATGGATCAAACCTTTGGACTGGTTTGTCACAAGAGTCAACCTCTCGTGGCTATCCCAGTCCCAAGGCTGGACTCTCATATTTACTAAATTGGTCGACACTAGCTGGTCTAGGAAATATCGTGTCTTTACTTTTCCAAACGTCACAGTTTGAAAGAAAGATGAAAAGGCTGGTACCTCTCACACAAATAACATGATCTCGTCTTGAATGTATGCTTTACTACTGTCACGAATGCTCCCAAGAGCGCTTAAAGAGGAAGTCCCTCACATTTTTTATCTTAGAGATCATGTCCTATTTATTTGACAATTGGCATTTAGAATTTAGTTATATCTAGAATATATTTAAATATTCTAGCATCATGTTTATAAGTATGTTCTCTATTATGTTCATTCAATAAATTATATAAGATTAAGATGAACAAATAAATGCAAAATATAATTTTAGAATATTGAACATGTGAGTGCTTGGAATATGGAAAGGGAATTTAGAAAATATGCATATCAATTAACCCAAAAACCTTAGCTTATATACATAAGTGAGTGGTTTGGATTGAAACCAATCTAACGGTTATCAAAATCCCACTATGCTAATATTAATATACAGCATCGTAACTGTATACTTAGACCTCACATCATCCCTCTTCTCAGAATAATGGAAGACCATCAGAGTTCTTTTGTATATGGGCTGGAATCTGGAGGAACGTTAGGAGGAGGCATTGGCAGATTTGTAGGTGGTCTAAGTTGTTTCTGATCCCTTTGCATGAAGTGTTTCAACCATTGCACATGCATAATTTCTGGGAGATTGGCTTGCTAGACATCATGCTGAACGTCATAAACTTACAGTCCAACTTGCCACAACACCTAATACAATCCTTTCCACTAAGCAAGGAGCCCCTTAGAAAAACTACGTATCGTAAGATGGGGAAAACAGACTAACACTAAATTATCCACTTTATACTCCACAGATGAACGATGATAGGAGTTGTAGCACCATTGTTATCCCTCTTGTACGGCCTAAGTGTTCGGCAGACTTTTCTTGGACAAGTGGAAGAATGATCGTCAAATACTGATCCTACGACCTAGCATTGGCAACTCGTGGCAATCACGAAGGTAAACTCAGTTTTGTTGGTAATATTGGATCATGACCATATAGAAGTTTATATGGTGAAGCACCAATATAACTCTACACCTCTGTAACATATGCATACCAAAAAGACGACAAATAACCATCCCAATCCGAATGTTGAAAGTTCACTGTCAGGAATCCCCCAATTCATACCACATTCTTGAATCTCGCTGGATTCCTGACCTGCAGACCACATTCCTGATTCTCGAGACACTTCCCTATTCCTGATTCTCTGATTTCCTGTACGATTCCTGAGTCTTGAGCCACATTCCTGATAATGATGTGGCACCTCCTTGACCTCAGCTATATTTAAGCTGTCCTTGATCCAAGAGTGGTGGAGCTTCATCAACCTATAGTATATATAGGTTAGCCTTGTTCCATCTCTCCACAATCTGAATCAACACCAATCTAGGCCTCTTCTTTGTTTCCACTAGCTTTTCCCTTTGTCTTTTGCATTCTCCGGTCTTGATCTTGTTGGGGGTTTTGATAGTTTGATTCAAATTGTGTTTTTTCATTTTTTTTTCCTTTAGCTCATTTTGATTGTTTGACTGCCTTTGCCTTTTTTTCCCCCTTTTTCTTTCTTTCTGCCGATGGAGTCTCCAAGCCATCCTGATTTCTTTGCCGAAGTCCTTGCAAAAATCCAGTCTGAGAATACTGAGCTGAAGGTGACCCTTCTTCGCATGTAGCAGGAGCTTGCTTCACTTTCGGCTCAAGGATCCAACAAAGTTCCTGAACTGAAGGTGAGTTTCCCGGCGAAATTTTCAAGCAAGCGTTCGGAGCTTCGCGGATTTCTGAACCAGATGGAGCTGATCTTCGCGGATTCCTGAACCAGATGGAGCTGATCTTTGCACTTCAACATTGGCGGTACCCCACTCATGAGTCTCAAATCGGCGTGATTGGGACGTTGCTCAAAGGTGCAGCTTTGTCATGGTTTTCTCCTCTTCTGGAGAAGAGCATGAAAGGGGTCATGGTTCCGAAGCTGATGGATTTTCAATTGTTCAAAGAGAAGCTCGAAGCATGTTTTGGTGAGACGGATCGGGTTCGGGCTGCTACCACAAAGATGAGACGTCTCTCTTAGGGGTCTCGTTCTGCCTTGATCTACGTTGCAGAATTCCAACTACTTGCCTTGGACACTCAGTGGGATGAGCAAGCTCTGATTGACCAATTTCGTTTCGGCCTCAACAATGGTGTCAAGGATTTGTTGCTCACCATGGAGGATCCCAAGGACCTGTCGGACGCCATCAACAAAGCTGTTCGATGTGATAATTGTCTCTTTGAGCGTCGTCAGGAAAGTCGCTGCGCCGCTGTTTTTCCGTCCCAGACTCAGGAATCCCAACTTGAGTCTTCAGGGCATACTCCTGAACCTACTGCTCTAGTCCCGATGGATATTTTTGGTACTCCCAGACTCATCAAAGGGAAGTTGAGTCCTGCTGAGAAGCAACGTCGAATATCTCATAATTTTTGCCTCTACTGTGTTGATTCTAATCACAAAGCAGCTATGTGTCCCAAGAAGCCTCCCCGACTACTCGAGTTCACTCTGCCTCAAAATCCACCTTTGTTGCAGTCGGGAAACAACCCTATCCAAACAAAGTAGGAGCTGTCTGTTTGGACTCCCCGAATTAAAATCATTTTTCTTCTTTATCAAGCTCCTCACCACCTTTCATCAAAGCCACCACCAATTCCCGCAACTTCTGCATCCCATGTCTCCTTTCTTTCACCGGACAATCAGGACTCAAGGCTTTGGCGCTTGCAACTTCCTGCTTCATGGACACAGACTTTGCTGCCCGACATCACATTCTTCTTTCTTCTACCATACGGGATCTGAGGGTTGAAGGCATCGGCGGGCATTTTGTGTCTCCATCTTCTGGACTTAGGGAAACGTTGCCCGTTCAAGTACACATCGGGTCCACCGTCACTGATATCACCTTCAACATCATCAACAGCAAGTCCTCCTCTGTGGTGCTCGGTCTTCCTTGGTTCCAACTACATTAGCCTCAGATCTGTTGGAAGGAATTACAGCTCATCTCTCCCACATCACCATCTCCCACGGCTTCCCCTGCTGTTCATCGAGTCCGAATTAGGAAAAGTTCCCTAAACTCAAATTGGGATTTTGTTCTTGACTCTACGAAGGTTTCACCCTTTTCTTTTTCCTCTCCTCCATCTTACATTGGACCGTATCCTGGTCTCATCATTCCATTTAGTCGTATGCCTCCTCCTATCTTCATAATCACTATGAAAGAACTCCTTCATTGT